GGTGCCAGCAAGATGCCGACCTCTTGTTGTCGTCAGGTAAGGATTACCGTACCATCGTGTGGAATCCCAACACTGGCGAGCGCTATGGCGAACTGCCAGAGGCGACGAACTCCGCTTTCCTCACTCGGTTTAACCCTCACAACCCCAATCTTTCGGCAACTGCCAGCGCCGACGGCAAGATCACAGTGCAGACTCTCCAAAACACCAATCCTGATACTACGAAGGCCGCGGCTGAGAAGAACCTTGACGATGAGGACTTCTTCCTCCACGCTGCTCAGGACAAGCCTCAAGACTCCTCTTGGTCATTGGCCAAGGCTCCCAACTGGTTCGAGAGGCCCGTGGGTGCTTCATTTGGCTTTGGTGGAAAGATTGTCGTGTTCAAGCCCAATGCTACTCAGCCCGGGCAAAAGCGTTCATCAAAGATCTTGATCACCAATTTCACTGTTGACTCTGACATCTCTACTGCTAGCCAAAAGTTCCAAGAGGACATCGCTTCTGGCAAGATCTCTGAAATCTGTGCCAACCGGGTTGATCAAGCCAAGACTGATGAGGAAAAGGCTGATTGGAAAGTGATGGAGACTCTTGTTGGCGAGAACCCCCGTAGCAAAATTGTCGAATATCTTGGCTTCAACAAGGACACCCTCACGAATGGCAGTGCCGAGGAGACATCTAAAGTCCAAGAAGGTGAGGAAACCAAACCCTCAGATGAGGATGCCGAACAGAAGAAAGAGAAGCGAGTCTCGAGCTTCTTTGATGGTGCTGAGGGCGATAGTGACGACTTCTTGTCCAATCTTGCCGCTACAAAGGGTGCCAAGACTGATAATCCTTTCCAGCTTTTCAGTGACTCTGATACCACTGTTGAAAAGAACGTCACCTCTGCCCTGATGTTGGGTAACTTTTCCAAGGCAACTGAACTCTGCCTCAAGGAGGACCGTTTCGCCGACGCATTCTTGATCGCCAACTGTGGTGGTCAAGAACTTGTTGACAAGGTTCAAGCTGCGTATCTGTCCCGCAAGAGCGGTACGCCAAGTTACATGCGTTTGCTCGGTTCTGTTATAGCTAAGAACCTCTGGGATGTGGTCTACAACGCCGATTTGGAGAATTGGAAGGAGACCATGGCTATTCTTTGTACATTTTCCGACCCTGATGAGTTCTCTGACCTCTGCGAAGCGCTCGGTGACAGAATCAATGAAGACGGCGACCGAAAGGATGCCTTCTTCTGCTACCTGGTTGGATCAAAGCTCGAGAAGGTGGTGTCCATATGGGTTGACGAGTTTGACGAGGCTGAGCAGGCTGGGTTGAAAGAGGAGACTGAAGACTCCACGTTCTCAGTTCATGCTAGGACTCTGCAGAATTTCATCGAGAAGGTCACCGTCTTCCGTCACACCACCAAATTCCAGGATAACGAGACAAGCTTGACCTCGGATTGGAAGCTTTCCGTTCTGTACGACAAGTACACCGAGTACGCAGATATTCTGGCTGGTCACGGTCAGCTAGAGACCGCTCAGAAGTACCTCGATCTTCTCCCCTCCAACTACCCCGCGGCGGAATTGGCAAGGAGCCGTGTGCGTCTCGCTACCAAGAAGCCTTCTGCTCAGCCCGCTTCACGGGTGCCAGCCTCATCAAGCCGGACTTCGTCCAGGCTTCAACCTGCTGTTGGCTACCAACCTCCTCAACCCGCACCTGTGGTTGGCACTGTGCCTAGCTCTGTCCCAGCTAATCCCTACAGCCATATTGCCCCAAGCCCGGCTGCTCCTCGATCAACTGGGTCGCCGGCACAGCAATATCAGCCCCCCTCAAACCCTTATCAACCTCAGAACAGTTATGCTCCTCCCGTGCAAACTGGATATGGAGCGCCAGGTGGTTATCAGCCTCCTGCTCAGCCGGGTTACGGTGCTCCCGCCCCCTTAGCACCCCCACCGATGAGCGGCCCTCCTCGAAACACAACCCCTTCATCAGTGACACCTGCAGCCAAAATGAAGAACATGGACAACTGGAATGATGTCCCTCTTGTCACCAAAGCACCCCCGGCGCGCAGGACCACTCCCAGTGTCCAGCCTATCACATCTCCTTTCCCTGGCCAACAAGGCACAGGTGTGCCTCCTCCACCTCCTGGTGCCTCTCCTTTCGGACAGCGAACTGGGTCGACTCCCCCTCCGCCACCTCCCAAAGGATCAGCGCCGCCTCGCGTTCAGTCACCTCTCGCAGCTCCTCCACAAAACTTCCAGGCTCCTCCCCCTCCTGCTGCCAGTAGCCATAACACATACGCGCCCCCTCCCCCTGCTGCCGGCGCGATCCCCCCACCAATGCCCAATGTCGTTCCTCGAACAGCATCACCGTACAATGCTCCTCCAGCAGGAGGCCCCCCAACTAACCGATACGCTCCCACTCCTGTAGCACAGCAGCAGCAGTACAGCCAGCCCCCGGGGTCTGTACCTCCTCCTGGAGCCGCAAGTCGTCCTCCTCCGGCTGGCTCATTTGGAGCTCCTCCTCAGCAGTCGACGCCTCATAACCAGTATGCTCCCTCTCCATATGGTGTCCCTCCTGCTCAACAATCTGCACCTCCCACGGGGCCTCCTCCGACTGGACCTCCTCCCATGAGCCGACCTCCTGGTGGACCTCTCGCTGCTTCCTCTCCCAAGCCAACTCCTCCTCCTCCCCAGGCTTCGGCCCCTCCCAAGGCCAGACATCCTGCGGGTGACCGCTCGCATATCCCACCCAATGCCCAGCGTTTGGTAGACATCCTAGACCAGGATATGCAACGAGTTGCATCCAAGGCTCCTGCGACATTTGCACCCCAAGTCAAGGACACGCAGAAGCGGCTTGGTTTGCTCTTTGACCATCTCAACAACGAGGAACTTGTCAAGCCTGATACAATTGAACAGCTTACTGAGCTTGCCAATGCTATTGAGGCCAAGAATTACGAAGGTGCACACAGGCTTCAGGTTGAGCTTCAGAGAGACAAGACTGAGGAGTGCGGCAACTGGATGGTAAGTTCTCGTTGTGTCATAACTCGGTGACTATGCTAACTCGCCCAACAATAGGTCGGTGTAAAGAGACTGATTAGCATGAGCAAGGCTACCCCGTGAGCAATCTTCTTTTCACTATAACACGACTTACGGTGCCTTGCTTATGGGTCATATATGGAGGGTGCGGATGTGATGTTGAATAGCTTAGCGCGGGGTGCGTGGTTCTACACGAAGACATCCACGCCGAGGGTTTGGCAGATAGAGAAAAAAATGACGATGTTATTGTGTGCCTGTCTATTTCATAATACTATCATGCCTCCAAAACTCTGGTATATTTGTGTAAATACTATCTCGTACTCAATTATTGAATCTTCGACTTGGCTTCCCCTGATTCGACAGATGAAAGTGTCCTTTGATAAAGAAATATGATTGTTTCAGTGAAATATTGAAGTATAATGTCCCTTCGGGATCAACGTTTCATGACAATACATTACATACAAACTCAAATACCATTTATTTATGAGCTAAAAGGAAATGTGAGGCGTAGCGATATCAGCATGTAAACCTCCAGGGTAAGTGACTCGTGTCAGTTTGCCCTATGATCATGGCCAGTTGTCAATGGATGGATCCCCACTCTACCAAAGCACCACATCATCGTCACCGGAGCCCATAATCACCAATATCTCAACATCAACTCCGAATAGACGTCTCACAATAGCTACCAAATCATGTCGGAGACGACGCAAAGTCCTGAAGATGCTGCGGCCCAGCGAGCTGCTGAACAAGCGCGTCTACGCAAAGAGCGCCGTGAAGCCAAGCTCAAAGCCGGGGGTTCTGCAAGGTTGAACAAGATTACTGGTCTCGGGGGTCGTATCCCAGGAGGTTCGATTCAGTTATAACATACATCTCCAGCTGCAGAGTTGCTAACTCTCTTCTATAGAACCAGAACCTACTACTGCGTCTACTGCCATAGCTGATGCTCCGACACCAGCGCCAGCGCCAGCACCCGTTGCTTCAGCACCCGCTGTGTCTGCCACCGCCGATCATGCCGACCCCGAAGAAGTCGATATCTCAGATCACTACTACGAGCCGAAGCGGACCGCCACCTCACGAACTAATGCACCTGAAATAACAGAACCCGCCATCTCAGAGGACCAGCTGCGACAGATGATGCTTGGGTTCGAACGTGGTAACGGCAGTGGTACCGCTAGCCCTGCACCCGGAGCAGCTGAGGAAGATCCCATGATGAAGATGATGTCCCAGCTGATGGCTGGTGCTGGTCTTCCTGCTGGCTCAATGCCTCCTTTCCCCGGTATGCCAGGCATGGCGCCCGGCCAAGGACCCCCCGTACCGCCCACAGCCGTCCGCAATAGCGCCTCTACAAACCTCTGGCGTCTTCTCCATGCCCTTGTAGCTCTCGGCTTGGGCTTCTACATCGTCATACTTACACCCTTTACTGGCAGCAAGATAGAGCGTGAGCGTGCCGCCCTTGCAGGCACGACACCCGCCGACCCGCTTATTGCAGCCGCCGAGCCTGAGCTCGAGACGGAACTGGAGCACCGGAAAAAGCTGTTCTTTTGGACATTTGCCACTGCTGAGTCGCTACTACTCACAACTCGCTTCTTTCTGGATAGGAGAGGCAGCCCCCCTTCTGGTATTGTAGGTACTGTGGTGCAATTCTTGCCCCAGCCCGCCAAGGGATATGTCGAGGTCGTGATGCGTTATGGCCAGATATTCACCACAGTGAGGAGTGATATACTGGCCTGTATTTTCGTGTTAGGGGCTGTTGCTTGGTTTAAGGGATAAGTAGCTTAGCAGCATAGACACATTGCAGTTGAATTATCACATTACATTAAGGCATGGCCTTGTGACAAGATATGGTGTTATTGCTTAAGGATTATACATTAGAATTCAAGTGCTCTTCTATGCAACGTTTCTCTACTGTACACACTGGTTGCGATAAGAAAGGAAGGATGGGAATGACTAAACCGAAACAGAGGTCCCAGTTGGTGATGTGCCGAGCCAGCTCGTTTACTTACTGAGAACCATCTTTAGCAGTTTTCCAAAGACGCCCCTCACGCGATCAGGGTTCTCTGCCACACAAGTAAAGACAACGGCAGTACTGGCGGCGAATACAAGTCTCTCTCGCCACTCTTTGTCCAAAGAATACCGTCGAGGCAGAACAGTGGCCAAGGCACGAGGGGCAACGAAGAGCGCAATATCCTTTCGCCGGCTTTCTGTTTCAATCATGATACTCCAGCCACAAAGCAAACAGCCCGTGCCAACGCAGATCCCACTATCCATGATCTGACGACGCTCAATGGTTGTGCCGCCAGGAAGACGGGGTCCGACGCGTGTGCGGCTCAAACAGACTCCATAGTAGAAGAGTGTGATAAAGGTCGCGAGGAAACTAGAGGAACGGCAAGACGAGATTATGGCTCGGCGTAGAGCTTTGCGAGAGGGGTTTCGAAGAGCAAGAGCAAGAGTCAGGGGCAAGTACGTAGCCATTGACCACTTCCAGGCACGAAAAAAGCGACTTGCAGCATGGTACTCGCATGAAGGCCCGCTGGACATATGGACCATCTGGCAAGGTATGGGAACAACTACCGCAGGATCTCCCCAGGCAAGTGGCCACTCGTAGTCCACACACATGCCTTGAAGGAGATGTGCCTGACCGGTCTCCTTGCCGTACTGAAACTCGCCCGAATGGCACCGCCGAAGGGCTTCGATGAGCCTTAAGTCCACGGAAGCTGCCGAAGTGATCCATTTGTTGTAGCTGCGGGGCAGACGGCTGGGATGATAGAACCAAGCCCACATAACAAGGCCTGATGAAGCTGCAAAGACAAGGGGGTCAACAAACTTGGAGAGGAATCGTTCAGCCTTAGGAAGGTGTCAGCAACTATGGATATCTGATAATCATAATCAGGTGATTTTCATGGTCTAATTACCTTGGACCACCTGTTGGAGGCCAGACGGCGGGCCTTGTGCCTCGCCCACAGATCACCAACGAGGACATCGAGGGCTCGAGTGACGGCAAACAGGGTTAGATCCATTGTTCGACCAGCAAACTTGACTGTTTGAGGCTCGGTGATTTGGGCCGAGCCCTCTTTCGGTGGCACAGTTTCGGTATACGCTCGGCCCTCGTAGGAGTGCAGCAGCCGCAGGCCGAACCAGGCGGCAAGGAATGTTGACAACCATCTTGCAAGTCTGGGACGATTGTTTAGCAAGGAACATCATGATTCATTAGAGTGAAACTGAAGGCGTACCTCAAACGACCTGCCTCGCTGAGCCCCCTTGCGGTTTTCTCTAGAATGCTTTTCAAAGGTTCCTTTCGGCGTATTAGCTAACGGCATATCAAAGTAATATTAACGTTCCGGTGAGCTCTGACAGCCGACAAGGACAAGGCGACCAATGCCAGAAAAGAGTAGGCGAATTTCTAGGACTGGACAAAATCCATCATGAGTAGGTCAACTTGCCTTCAATAGAGTAGTGCCACCAGCTAGTATGGCACAAAACGTTGGAAACCGCTGCGGATTGAAGCCTGTCCTCACTATGTGTGCTGCAGAGCTGACGAATGAGCTATCGTCAAGGTCCGGGGCAAGTTGGTTGGCTAGTTTCTTCTTTCTCTTCGCAACATGCTGCAACACTAATGTCAACAGCCGGGGAGCCACGGCAGATGCATAGCCCAAGAGATAGGCGCGAATCAAAGGGCGTAGGATCTCGGGAATAGGATCGAGCCTCAGGGGCCCTTTACGGGCAGGGCGCACATCAACTGCAGGCATAGCCATGCTGCTCCAGCATAAGAGATGTCCAACAATATCCCGAAGCAGGGCTACGGCACCTGCTACCGGTGGCACTCAGAAGGTGGGTATCTGATAAGATGGATGATCGCGGGGATCCTGACTGTGTATGAGCGGTCAATAACAGATCTACCCCTGCAAAGTATAATGAATAGAGGAAAAGGTGGTGTAAAGATGATCGAAAAGGGGAGGTCGGCGGTTTGGAGCAGCGGGGGGATATGTCAACATCATGCAACGTATGAGGAAGTATCACAGAGGGTTGATGACAGAATTTGACGGCAAAGGCGGCAAAGATATCTAGGCTCTTGGCCAGATAAAATAAATGAACAGTCAGGAGATTGATATGGTAGAATCTCCCCTTGAGGTTGATCAAAATTGTGGAGATTTCATCGCCGAGCTCTCACTTCGAGCCTCGGCTTGATTGATATTCAAGATGCCGCGTGTGAATATGCAACATGGCAAGCATGGATCGCATGTACACACGGATACTCCTGCAGGAAATAGACCGAGAGGAGAGACACGTAAATGATCTACCTTGACAGGTCGTAGATCATAACGCCCCCCCTGCCAAGGCTATAGGCAGTGTAGCGTAGCGCAACCGCCGCATGGTGATGGAGTCGCAGATGCAGATGCAGATGCGGATGCAGACGAGACAAGTCAATACGTGGGATTGTGAAACTAACCTATCACAACAGAAACTATTATTCTTTGAGTAACAAATCCGTGAGGCTGAGAGTATGAAACAGCCTAGCGAGTATTCAAGAGAGAATTAAGCTCAAAAGTACTCGTGGCAGATTATACGGATAATGCCCGAATTGGAGGGCTGACGATGTTGCTGGTGACGCTGGTGACGATGATGACCTGAGAGTTCAGGGGCTCAGCTAAATCAAAGTCGACGAGAACCGATCAATCTGGGCCTGGGCCTGGGCACGGTAGTTGAGTACAGATTTAGACATGAGACGTTCCAGATTTTCTACTGTAACGGCTGCTGAACAGATCCGGGTCGTTCGTTGTAACGGTAGGTATTTTAGGTGTGAGATTAAGTAACAGCTGAGTGAGGTTATCGCTAACGTTAACATCTGTAGGTACAACAATTTGCATGTGGTCAAAGGGACACCCCATCTGGTCTGCCCGTACCTAATTCTGGGGTACAGGGATGGGCAGCTGCTGCATTGGGAAAAGAGGCATGTGCACAGAATGGGTCCGGTACGTAAATTTTACCTTATAAGGCCGAATAATTGAGAATCCTTCAGTTGACAGTCGCCGGAATTAGAAAATCTCCATCTTGTACACAGGTACTGGAAGAGAAAACCTAAGAGAACAACGGCCTAGAGACCACGGATACAGCTCTCTAACTACTTAGGTACCTGCCTGGTACAGTTTTATCAGTTGATCAGTTCCCAAATGTTAGTACCTTACCCCTAGGAAACAAGAAAAATCCAGATCTCAAGATGGGATACCAAAAATAAACTCATTACAGAACCCATCAACTTCAGGTCAACTTACCTAATTCTTTTTGTCATTTATGGTCAAAGTCCCAAGTTTTCTGGCCTCCCTCCCTACTAACCTAGGTAGCCTAGTAGCTTACGTCTAAGCCAGTTGGTTCGTATCCGAATTCCAAGTGACATACCTAGATTCGCACATGGAAATGAAATTGTTCTCGAAAAACAAAACAACCTACGGCAGGGAAGCCCCACGACGAATTTCGGGGCTCTAACAGGTTTCGGCTCTTCTTCCTGGCCTGATTTCCCACAGGAAGCATGATTTCAGTTGGCATCTTTCCTTTCCAGGGAGGTCTTATATCAACCCTGGTAAGCCCTGAATATCACACTGGCACGGGCCGAACGTGGTCACGAGTCAATGTGAAAAAGGCTTTGTCACCTTCGAGAGAACAAAGACGCACGCATGTGCTTGAGCTTCTGCTTGTGGCTATGCTGGCTGATTCAGACAATGCAATGTTGTTGGTTCAGCCTCATCGTGTTGCTGACTACAGGTGAGTAAACCGAGTCAAGTGACCGCCAACTTATCTGCAGTAAGTCAACTGCGTGCAACGCCAAGATGACTAGATTCCCCGAGTCTCTCAGCAGAAGAACAGAGCCAATCAAGAATGGACGAACTGTCTGACTCTTAAGGCTTGGCTGGGCGAATGAATGGCAGCTGGACATGAGGCGTCGTCAACCAAGGCCGTAGAATAGAGCTGTTGGGAGTGCTGAAGATGAGAGAGCTTGAAGCATGTGATAGTCCCATAGATGCATACTGCAGACAGGTATGGATATACGGATACGTCATGACAAGGTGATCCGAGACATAGACACCCCCCATACCCATACCTACAGGCGGGAGTCTCGGGGGGGGGGGGGGGGRKGTAACGATGAATGTGTTGAAAGAGCTTTGGTAATTGTTGAACAAGGCGCGGGGGCTTGGATCACTTTATGGTTTTGGTAGAGGCTCGACTCGACTCGCTGAGCATCGCCCACGATCTGATTTCCCTAAGAATACTCAAAACCAAGCTTTTCCCAAAGGCTAAAGGCTCTGGTCGACGTCGATGAAAGTTGCAGGTGACACAGTGACCTGGGGGAGGGGAACATGGGGGATTAGTGACTAGAGCGCATCAGGTTGAGGTAGAGAGTACTTGAAGATTGAGTGCTTGTAATGCTCCGAGGCAACCCCACATGGCTAAGACGGTCCAAAATGTGCTCAACATGGGCCAATGGGTCCAATTGCCGTGCAAGCCTGGTCCTTGAACACATTTCCCCAAAAACAAGACTACCTTCCATCTAAGTCTCAGCTACCACTCGCGGTCCGCCTTCCACCTGCCGTACCGTTCCTCTGCACCCAGGACAGTCACGGTGGGCTCCCGCCGCTTTCCTCCAACCTAGCCTACCTAAACCGCTTTACCCTACCTACCTAGGTAGTTAAACACCACCACCACCACCACACTCACCTCCACGATCCTAACCCTCCCATCCTTTCCTGGCCCGCTACCATTTGACCTCTAAGGTAAAATTTCTAAACCTTTCCCGGCCAGGAGCATAGCAGCCATCCTATGAAGAAGCAGGAGATACCGGGCCCTAGTTGCTCCTTCTTTGTCTTCATCTAGGTCGCGCGGTGTGATGTGACGCAGCAAATGCACGTTTTAGCACATGCACTCCCCGTCCAGACTAAATCCCTTCTTGTGTTGATCCCCTGTCGCTCTTATTCTTCTTCTTCTTCTTTCTCTTCCATGGCTTAAGCAGGCAGCTCTGCAACTCTACTGTCAACGGCCTTTCTCCAACTTTCATTCACAGCTGTTTGCTTCCAGCGACAAAACTCGACTATCAGTATATTTCATTGTCTTCTACCCAAGAAGCACATAAACAACAACGTACATGCCAAACATTCAGTCGCACAGTCTATAATATATTCACGAACCATTCACCGGCACATTCGTATCGATCTGCTCCTCCTCGTGCTCTCGCGACTCAGCAACTACCTCCTAGACTCCAGCCAGATACAACAGTTGCTTCTTTGCGCTTCACGTGAAGCGAATCGAAATTTGTCCAGGCATACTCACTTGCTATCAACTTGAAGGGCTTGAACTGTCATGTGCTAAAGAGACAGACCACAGCTTGGTATTGTCCTGGTCTACACGCTTGATGCCGAACAAAAAAAGCACACCAGTCTGGAATATTACCGTTTATACCGTCGAGTCGATCGATATACACCCGCCAAATACTTTCAGTCCTTCAAATCACAAAAATTTATACATCTACTGTGGCTCATTTGTAGCACAGCGTTTGCTCTACAGAAAACCCGTATTACAAAAGACGCATCCATGCTCGCCGTACAGCACGCTCCGAGGATGGGTTCGTCGCAGCCGCCCTCAGACCCTTTTATGCCTTTTGGCTGTAAGTGAACCGCTTGCTGAGATCCCCTATCCTTCGCATCACGTTCACCAATTCAAGAGCAGTCTGCTAATCTCTAACCCGACTAGATTCATTCGACCCTAATCAAGATCCTCCGATCAACGATCCGCCAGAGCCTGCACCTGGAGCTCCTCTCTTGACAGATACCGACAACAGGCTTCTAACATCCTTCTTCGACGATATCAATGCCGACCATTACAATATGCCCTCCTTCGGCGAGGGGCTTAATTTCAGCGATACCTGGCTTGATCTGCCTCCGCAATTCATGGGATCCAGTACTTCATTCGGTCAGCAGCCAGGATCTTCACTTGGCGAGCCGCCGGCTCAAGGACTCTCCCATAGCCTGAACGAGTTCCATGGCATGGCACCATTGGGATCCCATATGATGCCCCCGCCGCCACCACCTCCTTCCCATTTTCAACATCAGACTGAACATCGACACACTCCCGATGATGTGCTGAACGCGGCCGCTACTCTGCTTCAAAACGGCCCAAACCAGCGTCAGAATTCCAACGGAATTGATACTTCGGTACAGAGGCACCCAATAGGACCTCCAGTAGGCCACCTACGACACCAGCCTATAGAAGAATTCCGGGAAGACCATCGACGCAGCGTTGCAGCAAGCGAGCAAGAACATTACCCAGACTGGATGATGGGACCCCATGACAAGCGCCAGCATCGAGCACCGCCTGCCGAATATCAGTGGGGTTCTGATGCCAACTTCAACCGCATTCAAGGCTATACTCCCAACTCGGAGAAAGAAACCGCCGAGTCCTTGACGAAGGAACAACTCAAAGTTCTTGAATGTTTTGAGCCCAGTAAAAGCGCCGATAACACGCGACCCAGTAGCCCACTTCATACCAAGGGTCCGCTCCCTCATGGCAGATTGACTGAGCTCGCGAAAGTGCAAGAAGCTGATACGCCCCCGCGTAAAAGGCGGAAGAGCAGAAATAACAAGGATACTCCAGATGAAGAGGCGCAAGAAGAGACAATCACGCCGAAGCCTCTGCGGAGGCGGAAACCTAAAGCGGAACGTGCAGGTTCCATCACTTCGGCTGTTGCAGATGACGTTGCTGGGGGCAA